GACAACTTAAGTTACATTCCAATATCAGAGTCTTAAGTGACAAAATCAGACCACAACACGCTGTCTTCATCGCTGTAGAAAACACATTATTGTTATCATACTTCATACATCACTATTTGTCCCTCCTGTACTCAGAGCTGATTGGCTGAATGAGAGTCGAGGTGGTCCTCTCCTTTTCACTTTTGTGTCTAAAAATACTGATCTAAAGCTGTGACAAAAAAACTAGGGATACTCGAGAGTGAGGAACTAGATTTTATTAAATAGTATGTAAGTAAGTCATGTTTAATTATATTAGGGCTGGCCGATATATTGTGATATAGTTTTCAGCCATTAGTAATTCATATCGGTCGATAACAATAAAAATAGATTGTTGTTTTTTTTTTTTTTTTAAATAAATAAAGACATTTCTTGTGTCGGCTAACACACGTTTGCAGCCTTGTTTACAGTCAAGGGGGAATGAGGAATGAGAGGAATGTGTTCGCAAGCACAGTGTCCCCCATTGTTAGTCCTGGTTTAATCCTGGTGTAGTCCTGGTTTAGCTCCTGTTTTGGCAGTTTTCGAGGGCCTTTCGTCTCCATGCCGCTCTCTGATAGCCGCACGTGCTTCCTGAGAAAAAAGTTCTTCTCTTGCTTTCGCCGAATGCATCGGGTGTCTGTGTCTACTGCCTTTCCCGTGCCGCGCATGCTAATCCTCACACTAACATGCATAACCACTGACACGGCATTGAAAAACGATCTATAGATCCATGGACGCGGTTCATACTCGGCTGTGATAGGTCGAGAAGCCTCTGCCTACATCCCCCAGAATGCCGCACACTTCTGACTCGGCTTTACTTCCTGTGTTTTCTTCCTGTTTTTTTCTAACGGAGTGAAGTTAAACTATCGAATATTCTATCGACCCCATTCTCAATTGATATCCAGAACCCGGTCAGGCCAACAGCACCGTCTGCTCCCGCCCAGGACACGGCTCAAGAAAATGGGGGACCGGGCCTTCGAGGCCGCTGCTCCCCGTCTGTGGAACGCCCTCCCAGACCACCTCAGGGCCCCACAGACGGTGGAAGCTTAAAGGGACTCAAAACCCTCAAAACTAAAGCGTACTGCTAATTCTTTTATAGTCTTTTATCTGATTTTATGTGTTTGCTTTTATTTATGCTCCTGTTTGTAGCACTTTGAGATTTGGTGTCAAATATAAAGTGCATTGTAAATAAAATGTATTATTATTATTATTATATCGAACATGGCGATATATATCGTTTTAGCGCCCAGCCCTAATTTATATAGTGCATTTTACAGACCAAGGTCACCCAAAGCGCTTTACAATGTTCAGAGTTAAGATATTGTTCCAATCATTCCACACACGGTGATGACGGAAGCGCCGAACACACTGGCGCATCAAAGCCCCCAATCAACACCATCCATTCACTCACTCATCTACATTCATACCTATTGTGCATGTTTTTAGTGGTAGGGGAAACCGGAGGAAACCTACACAGACACGGGGAGAACATGCAAACTCCACTCAGAAAGGCCCTGTTCCGACCGGAATTCGAACCCACCACCTTCTTGCTGAGAAGCCGCCCAGCTCCATTCAAAGTTGGAAAGTGCTTTTTGTGACCTTGGTCCGTGAAATGTAAATAATGTTGACACACTTATTTACTTATGTGGTTTGAAAGTTAGTCACCCCAGCTTTGAAGGGATAGGGTCATTACAATCTGTACGCCAATACATTTTCATAATATCGAGTTAAACAAGTTGCATTTCTCTCTCACTATGATTTTTTTTTACTACTACTACTACTTCTATGACCTGTTTTGCAGCCCATCTTTTCACCCATTCTCTCAGTTTTCGTCGATGTGTAATGAACTGTGGATGTCGTCTGTATGTTCCAAACCGGTTTCCTCTGTCACCCATTGGATAACAACAATAAGTGCCTTGGACTCTGACAATCATTTTGACACCTGTCTCATACACTGCGTCCTTCCTGTGTCCTTGTTAGATGCCCCAGCTATTTTCCCAGCGGTCGAGAATTCCCCGCGTGTCAAAAGTGCGACTAAATTGGTCCGACGAGCGGTGAAACATGGAGACAAGGTTTTTTTTTTCGAGGCTCTTGCACAGCGGGGTTCACTCAAACTCTCCAGCCGAAATAGTCATTTATTGTAAAAAGAAGAGAAAAAAAAAAAAACAGGACATGCTGTTCCTTGTAGGACAATAAGTATAAGTGAATGCTAGATCACTTTTTTTTCTTTTTAGTATGCGGTGATATCATTTTGCTAATGGAAGGAGAGGGGATACTTGAATGTGCCACAGCTATTTCTGAGTTTGAAGATGTATCCACCACAAAATTATTTCCAATTACTCGCCACTTGAGAGCAAATCACAGGCCTGGTAGAGCACTTAATGCAGTTTTTAGTCACCCGTCGGCAAGCAAATTGCAAGGCTGTTTCTTCCCTAACATATTTTTTGGTTGTATAAAAAGTATATCAAGAGTTTATATGCCAAATTATACATATCTCTGTTTTGAAAATGTGTTAAAAGGTTGTTGAAAAGGTGTCTGGCATTAAAAGATCTAGGATTAAAAAAAAAAAAAAACTTGGTAAAGGGCAACTTTTAAGGCTTCCAAATACATATATTTTTTTCCAATGGCACATGATGAACTATCCATATGTATCGGTCATATGTATGTTTGTCCCTCAGCTCAAATTTCAAGCAGAATTATTACCATCTTGTACCTTCTTGTTATATCATACATTCTTCTTCTCCCCTCTTCTCAAGGAGCTGGTCCTGGTCTGGTCCGATTCTGAGCTGTCTCAGCTTGTTTGCTGTGTTACCATAGCAACACTGTTTTTTTACTGTCAGCCGTTAGCCTTTTGAGTTCTAGTAGTCTCAAAATTCTGGGAGTCCTAGTGTTAAGATATTTGGTTTCATGGCCCTGAATTTAAATAATTGCATTACTTCTTACATGTAATCACCATCGCACTCGGGTCGTTAGGCTTGTGCATCAGGCGCCTGTCAGAGCGTGCGCCTTCCTGTTTTATTGAGGGCGCTCGGGCAAACTGAAACTCAAACCGAACGCATATGGATCCCCGCCGAAGCTCTAATGGAATATTTGAGTATGTTGTAGCCTGAAATGTCAACGTGTGATGGACAGACGTGGGCGTGCGGTGGCGGTGACCCAAGCTCCAACAGCAGCGGTGAGAAGAGGCTAATGTGTTGCTGAGAGAGTGACACGACAAAAGGGAACTTAAAGGAGACACAAAATCAACTTTGTTCGAGCTTTTAGTGTTAGTAATTAGCACTGTTCCTGGGTCCTGGGTTAGTTGGCCCAGTTGGAACAAGGCCTTTGTGATTGTGAGTGGGATTGCATGAGTTGCGTTTCCCCTATACACCAAAAAAACATGTATGAAAGACAAAATCCTCCAGCTCTGGTCCTGACTTAGCCTGGTCTTACCATACCATCATACTCATTTTATTTCCTACTTAGGTCTGGATTTGAGCTTCGTTAGCAGGCTGAACCAGAACGGATTGAAGATTTTAGGTTAATATGTGTGCCATACTGCATTTGAATGTAATTAGAGTTGTACCTATTTTGAGTTAGAGAGTTTTCTCTTGCTGTTCAATACAGATAAAATTTTATGTGAAAGACAATAATATTGTTATAATGTCGTTATCAAAATACCAAACACCCATATCAAATATCTCTCTAATTTCCAATATCCTAATTTTCCTGACTGTGATGCCTAGGCTTTTATTTTGTACCTATTTTGTTCATGTGAAGTGACATGAGTATAGTACATGTGATGAAATGTGTGTGTGTGTTTACCTTGGACGGTAAATATTAATGTCTGGTCACGCCTATCTCTTTACAATTGCATGACTGTGTTTGCAGCTGGTAATTTACAAATGTGTAGAAAAACTAAATAAATTGAACCCCTTCCTCTGGTGGCAGCATTGGGTGTTACAGGCAGGAAGCATGTTTTACCCTTCATCCTTGTTTCAACATATATTTTCTACAGAAATTATTATTTCACATTCTAGAACATAATTAGACTATTGTAAATGGTCTAATTATTATTTGAATGTAAAAAAGTATGTAGTATTGTATGTTTTCTTTACGGTCTGATTCAGCATACCGTAAAGCTAAAGCAGTGTCAATCCAATTCCAGTGCTCTCTATGATCCTTTTTTTATTTAGCACTTTTGTTCCAGAAAATGTTTCATATACAAAGCACAAAAAGAATAATTCAATTATTGTGTGTTTTTGTACCAAATGAAGCTCTCCAACACTGCACCCCCCTTGTCCATATAGCATTATATAGAAGCAAAACTGGTTTCTCGTGCTGCACATGAGGTACTGTGGGGAATAAGAAACATTTGCTTTATTATTAACATATGTTTTGATGGTCTGGAGTGTCCATGAGCGTGCTTGTTTGTGTTGGTAAGATACAAAGTAGATCTCATACGGCAGGAATAAGTTGAGTTTTACATGGACCATTAAATAAGAAATATTATGCTTATTATACCTATTAAGAATGATAATAGACAAAATTCTATTGGCCGGCCCTATCCCTATGCTAGCAGCAGAGATAGGTTTAGAATGTGTTGATTGTAAAACATAAATCATGGATGACGTCACAGTTTTTGATTGAGAGAGAAATAGGAATGTCTTGAGTTGAAAGAATTTCTTGAATTTCTTTGAATAATTTTCAAACCAACACAAAAAATGTATGTGATAAAAAATGCCATTTGACTACTTCTTTGCTCTCAAAACAGTTTGTTCTATCACTGGTGTGTATCTTTTTTTTCATGCACAGTGAGTATTTATGATTTGAATGCCTTGTGTGTGAACTGTGCTATAAAAATGTATGTTTTGGTTAAATCTTCAGATCTGTATATTCAATCAGATCTCAACCAATCAGCTCTCAGCCTGAAAGCGTCAGATAGTGACTCAAAGTAATTATGTGGGATCTGATTCTGAGACTGCTGTCTGTTGTGTTGTTTACAGATCCGCTCGGACCAGGACCAGGACATATCCATCCGATACAGCATCACCGGAGTGGGGGCCGACCAACCGCCCAACGAGGTCTTCAGCATCGAGCCAGTGCTGGGCAAGATGTTCGTGACCAAACCCCTGGACCGCGAGCACCGGTCGTCCTACCACGTAAGACACTAACACAGGACTTTAGACTGTTGTCATGTGGTTTGATATCGTATTGTTATGACCCATAAGTTATACAACCCCTATAGCATTATATAGAAGCAAAACGTGTTTATCGGGCTGCACATAGGCTACTTTGGGGAATAAAACAAATGTTGATGGTCTGGAATTTAAGTGTCCATGTATGTGTTGGTAAAGTAGATCTCAGATAGCGGGAATGAGTTGAAAATGCTCATTGTTACATGGACCATTAAAGAAGAAATATTATGCATTATTTTTGCCCATTAAAAGTTGTCATAAATAAAATGCTATTGGCCTGTTTAAACAATGCTAACTGGTTTGCAGGTAGAACACCAAAACAGGGTCAGGAAACTGAAGATATGTAATGGCTTTATTTACAACACAGGGTCGAGAGACATCCGGATCGACTTAGACAGGCAGAGAAGTGATGAACAAACCTCATGTACAAAGTTTCGCTCCAGTTCTCTCTAGCTCCTATTGACTTACATTGAAAAGTAAACTCCTCTAGCTCAGTAACCGTTTGTGTCACCCTCAACATTATGGGCACAAAAAATTCATTGTTTAGCGCTCTCTGTCATTTTGTCTCTGCAAATCCAGATATGCCTTTCTTCTCGGGGGAAACTCCAGCTGGCCTTAGCAACCATCTTAGCTACACATATGCCCTTGTTACTGCGCGAAGCTAACGTCGAGGAAGAAATGTCCGTTTAAGAAAATTGGCTCTAGCTCGGTCAGTCCACTCCTAATATACAGTCTTTGTTCTTGGTACATGGAAAGTGAAGGTGAAAGATGTGCCTCGTCTGCTGCGCAGGTGAAGTTGGTCAAGCCCTTGCCACAAAATAAACAGGACAGAACCTGTCCAGTTCAATTCAATTCAATTTATTTTTGTATAGCCCTAAATCACAACAGTAGTTACAGTGCCTTGCGAAAGTATTCGGCCCCCTTGAACCTTTCAACATTTTGCCACATTTCAGTCTTCAAACATAAAGATATAAAAATTTAATTTTTTGTCATGAATCAACAACAAGTGGGACACAATCGTGAAGTGGAACGAAATTTATTGGATAATTTAAACTTTTTTTTAAAATAAAAAACTGAAAAGTGGGGCGTGCAATATTATTCGGCCCCTTCACTTTCAGTGCAGCAAACTCCCTCCAGAAGTTCAGTGAGGATCTTTGAATGATCCAATGTTGTCCTAAATGACTGATGATGATAAATAGAATGCACCTGTGTGTACTCAAATCTCCGTATAAATGCAACTGCTCTTTGATAGTCTTAGGGTTCTGTTTAAAGCGCAGAGAGAACCATGAAGAGAAAGGAACACACCAGGCAGGTCCGAGATACTGTTGTGGAGAAGTTTAAAGCCGCATTTGGATACAAAAAGATTTCCCAAGCTTTAAACATCTCAAGGAGCACTGTGCAAGCAGTTATATTGAAATGGAAGGAGTATCAGACCACTGCAAATCTACCAAGACCCGGCCGTCCCTCCAAACTTTCATCTCAAACAAGGAGAAGACTGATCAGAGATGCAGCCAAGAGGCCCATGATCGCTCTGGATGAACTGCAGATAACTACAGCTGAGGTGGGAGAGTCTGTCCATAGGACAACAATCAGTCATGCACTGCACAAATTTGGCCTTTTTCGAAGAGTGGCCATTTCTCAAAGATATCCAATAAAAGTCTCTTAAAGTTTGCCACAAGCCACCTGGGAGACACACCAAACATGTGGAAGAAGGTGCTCTGGTCAGATGAAACCAAAATCAAACTTTTTGGCCACAATGCAAAACGATATGTTTGGCGTAAAAGCAACACAGCTCATCACCCTGAACACACCATCCCCACCTCAGCTGTAGTTATCTGCAGTTCATCCAGAGTGATCATGAGCCTCTTGGCTGCATCTCTGATCAGTCTTCTCCTTGTTTGAGATAAAAGTTTGGAGGGACGGCCGGGTCTTGGTAGATTTGCAGTGGTCTGATACTCCTTCCATTTCAATATAATTCCTTGCACAGTGCTCCTTGAGATGTTTAAAGCTTGGGAAATCTTTTTGTATCCAAATCCGGCTTTAAACTTCTCCACAACAGTATCTCGGACCTGCCTGGTGTGTTCCTTTGTCTTCATGGTTCTCTCTGCGCTTTAAACAGAACCCTGAGACTATCAAAGAGCAGGTGCATTTATACAGAGACTTGATTACAGACAGGTGCATTCTATTTATCATCATCAGTCATTTAGGACAACATTGGATCATTCAAAGATCCTCACTGAACTTCTGGACTGAGTTTGCTGCACTGAAAGTAAAGGGGCCGAATAATATTGCACACCCCACTTTTCAGAATTGTATTTGTTAAAAAAAGTTTAAATTATCCAACAAATTTCATTCCACTTCACAATTGTGTCCCACTTGTTGTTGATTCATGACAAAAAATTAAAATGTTATATCTTTATGTTTGAAGCCTGAAATATGGCGAAATGTTGAAAGGTTCAAGGGGGCCGAATACTTTCGCAAGGCACTGTATATGGAGGACTTTAAACGACAATCAGGGCGGCGAGTGGAGAGTGAATAGCATTCTTGCTTCTCAGCAAGAAGGTCCTGGGTTCGAATCCCGTTCGGAACATGGTCTTTCTGAGTGACGCTTGCATGTTCTCCCCGTGTCTGCGTACATTTCCTCTCGGTGCCCCGGTTTCCCCTACCACTAAGAACATGTACAATAGGTAATTATCCAGCTCTGGTCTTGACCAAGACGGGTGCCAACATCTGGAGATGGTTACTGTACTATGGCGACCACTGCTCCTGACGTAAGCCTTAGTGGCATCAGGATGGGTCAAATGCAGAAGAGGAATTGCCCTACGGGGATTAATAAAGTGCACCTTTAACCTCGACCAGTCGAATTCGCCAACACAGATCAGAGAATCAAATAGTTCAAACACAAGAAATGCAATAATAGAAAACACATTGATATTGGCCCATAAACGGCAGATGTCTAATAACCATTAATGTCCACTTGTTATGAAAGTGGGAACTATGAAGTGATTTCATTTTACAATCAAAAGTATATATGGATTTAAGGAGATAAAAAGGCCTTATGTTGTTGGCCATTATAGTGCTACCAATATATGTGCCTTTATCGTAGTTGACTATATGTCGTATTTGTAATTCCAGTTTTTGGGTAAAGTTCTAGCAGTAATAGTAGTGCACTTCCACAGCCACAAGTTCATCAGCCTCTTGTTTGTATTTAGATGGTAAGCTGCTCTGACTTAGAGTTCCTGCACTGAACAGTTCAGCTCTTTAGTGCCGGCCGAGTGGATTTATGTCCAAGACTTTCTCAGATCAATTAAGTGATTTCTTTTTAAAAAAAACTAAAAAACAACCCTGCCTGGACTTTGGTGCTTTCTCTTCTGCAAGGAGCGCAAACGAGGCTGCCTGCAGACCAAAACCAAGCAGAGTCTACTTTTCCAGAACATTTAGATGTAAAAAGCAGAATTTCCAACCAAAAATGCTTTAAGTGTTGTTCAGCATAATAAAGTGTTGTTTTAAGTAATCAGCCTCAACCCCAGTTTGATAACCAGAGTAATTCACAGTTTAATGAAGTAAATATCAAAAATATCAACTTTAAATGTAGAATATATGAGATAAACACATGGTCCAAAAGACTGCGTTCATGTTGTTGAGTTATATCTCAATATATCTATGGGAAAGAAGAAATATTGAAAAATAAAATGCCCAAATATTTTTCCAGGTCATAATTTGATAGTTTTTAGATTCACAAAGCTGTAATATTATGTCTGAAAGTGCTTGCCTCTGATGAACACGATACGTATTAGTCATCACTTGACCTGGTTGACCAGATGACGTGGTTGTTTTCTTGAGAACATTTAAAATATATGAAAATAAGTTCAGGAACCATTAAAAATAGTTGGACCTTGTGTTTGACACATATGATATGGACACATTCAAGATTTAGGACGTTTCAGCTGAAAATGAGGTACAACATTTAGTGCCAGAGCTGAAGTTGGCTGGATGACACAGTGTTTATGATCTCATTGCCAACTTTGGCTCAGAAAATAAAAAAATCACATCAAATGACACAAGAGCCATGACTTTGGACACACTTGATGTTGGTCAGATAAAGATGAAGAGATCCTTTATCTGTCCTACACTGGGGAAATGTCAGTGTGGCATCGCCGGTTACAGAAAAGTAGGAACGAGGAACACACAATATAAGATAATATAAAGTGAATATTAAGCATAGCACAACTCTATACTTATAAAAACTATAAAACTTTGAAATAAGTAGCAGCAGTAGAAGAGCTTTTGTCCAAAAAATCCCATTCACTTGACTACAGATCATTGTCCATATGTGTGCCTCTAAATCATTCCAATCAAAACGGAAAAGAAGTGGCGCTTTCTTTTGTTTGCTTCATATTTCACACAAGGACAAAACAAAGTTATGGCCGACTTTCTCTTCATCTCCGAAAGACGTCAGAAATGCACAAACTCCGAATGTTACCGCAGATGCATTCTTATGAGGGAAGAACCTTGAAGCACTTTTGTTTTTCTTCTATTTTTTTTTCTTTTTCTTTTTTGCTCTTGGTTTATCTCTATCCAGATTCTGGCACCGCTGTACTCTCTCTCTCCTCCCTGTACGCGCCGCAAGATAATAACTTTAATGTGGACCTTGAATTACATTTTGTCTTCTTTAAACATTGCGGTAATCTTTGACTCCCGCTGTTATTGAATTAGTCTTGGATGTGGGACGCGGGGGGGACGAAGAAGAAGAGAGCGCAGGGATATATAGGGGAACGAGATAAGGGTCCGCGCTCGGGCCGAAGATGTGATAGGCGATGGCAGCATGCGGATATCCAGTGCGGGGGATGGATCAGACAAAGCTGCGGGGAAAAAGTAAAGTCGAATTAACCTCGGGGAGACCTGGCAACGCAATCGGGAACAAGGTGCGGAGTGGGAAGCAGATGGGCGAGTGGGATGAGAGG